GCCACCCAAAGCCAATGCACTCCTCCCTTCCAGTCCTACCTGCAGATTTCCTAGATGATCCTGCCCTTATTAACAGTGTTCTGACTTCAGTGTGGGAGACTTCAGAGAGCAGCACCCCCCAAAGAGAGGCAAGTCCAGACCCCTCACACGGGCGGCAGGAGAACACAGCACAGGTCCAGCTCCTGCCAACTGATGACTGGTGCAGAAGAAAAGGTTTGGCAAAGCAGGGTGGTCTACAGCACTTGCAATCTCTCCCAGGTATAGACTGGGTTCTTGTTCCCACTGGGATTTTCTTTCTTTTTGCACATGTCAGTAAGAAAATGAGAATGAGTGGGCCAGGGATGCCAGCAGGGAACAGAAGGAATAATGCTATCACCAGTGGGGAATAATTTAAAAGGCCAAGAGGCAAGACTAACATTTGAAATCACCGACAAAGCCCTGGAGTTGTCAATATTATTGAGTATTTTCTGTCACCCTGCTGATGTTCCCCTTTTATTCAGAAATAGCTGTTCCAGGAAAGAGGGCAGTATTTTTACAGCTGTACTTCTGGAGCCTGGCATTCGAGACAGGCATTATCAGTGCAGGTCATAATGCAAGCTGACTGGCCCTAGCAGCAATGCTGCCCTTGGTGCTGGGAGGCGGGGGCTGGTCAGGATGAGCATCTTGTATGATAGATGCAGGGATTTTGCTGCCAGGAGTGGGCCTGGGGCAGTTAAAGTGCTCAGTACTCCTTCAACATCCACTTTATAAGAGAAAGAGGCAAAGACAGAAGCCACCAAGACAGGGAGAAGGAATCAATTTAGGAACATCAGAAGCGCATTACGTACCTCCCTGTAAGTCACTTAGTTAATCTCTTTTCCCTCAATATCCCTCTGGAAATCACTGGTGATGACACAAAGAGTTAATTATCAGAAAGCAAGATTTATCTTGGTCTTGTCCCAGCAAACAGCAGAGTGCCACAGCAGCCACTCGTCCACAGCTACTTACATTCCAACAGGATGGCTTTGGTTACCAGCAATGCTGCACTTCTAGTACGTCAGTCCTCCCAAAGCACAGCCAGTGATGCCACAACAGGTGCCTCCTCTGGGACATCAGACACAGAGACACCATGCACGATGTGCCTTCCAAGGCTGCCACGTGGCTCTGTCCCAAAGCCTCCCCAAGCACTGCCAGTACCATCAGTCACTCTCATGGGGAAAGGTTGTGTTGTCCTAGTGAAGCAGCCCTGGGCATGCTCCTGGTTTAGTCCACACCCTACAACCTCCGCATTGTCCTCCGATGTCCTGCAAACCTTGGCTCGCTCCTGGCCGCGAGCCCATCCACTGCTGATGGACCAGCCAAGGGGAAGCGTTCGATATTTCACCCATCGGGATACAGATGCCATCAGTACCACGCACGCTCACTTCAGCTTGCTGCTTGTGCCAACACGATTGTTACTCCACATTGTTCCACCTCTCACTGTTACAACCCCAAAACTTCTATTTCTGCCAGTGTTAAAACAGGCTTTGACTGCTTTAATGCCCACCCCAGGAGAGGGCAGGCAGCACCCTCAGCAGCACTGCTGCAGAAGCATCCAGTTCTGAGCACTCAAACACTCTCCTGCCCCTGATGTGAACTGTTTAAGGCCTCAGCACACTCACGAAGGTGATAAACCAGAGAGCAGGGGGAAGACTGGAAGATGAGGCTTGAGAGGGGATGCAAAGGAGGAAAAAAAGTAGAAAAGAAAAAAGATAAAGATGAACTGGTGGTCACACCAGAGAGCATATTTACAGAACAGGAACATAACTACTCTTCAGCACATACTTGTCAAAGAGCAACTTTTTTTTTTCCCCAGGATTGGTCCGTTTTCTGCCCTTTGAACGTTATTAACACTTGCAATTCCAGTGATATTTCACCTTCTTTTTAATGGTCTAGTTTCTGGACTAATTTCAACTTCCAGGCCTTTTTGTTTTAATTTTTATTTTTATTAACATGAAGGAAGTTCAGCCAGAAAAAGAAGAAACTCAAACCTTTTATTTCATTATTTTGGAGGCCTGACCCCATGAGTTTTACAGGTGTGAGGTTGGCAGTAAAGGCAGCAGATAAATTCTGTTCATTTTTATTATGCTTTGTAGAAGGACCAGAATAAGAGAGATCATCTATTCAATAGTTGGTCATTACAGGGCCAGAAATCTGTGCAATTCAGCCACAGCCCAGCTGTTGAAAGGCATGATTATCTAGAAATAGGACAGGCTTGAAGAAAAGGAAAACTGAAGGGAACAAAAGGACAAAAAAAAGGCTCATCTAAATAGGGACAGCAAGATTCCGCTTCTTGATACTTGTCTGCCACCTCAGTAACGCTGAGGAAGGGGGCTTCGCTATAGGAACTAGCCAACAGTCAATTAATTTGCTTTACCTCTTTCTTTGAAGAAAGACAGAAGAAACTTTCCCTATTTCCACTCACTATTTCTCCATCAACAGAAGACCTGAGTCAGAACAGTATTTTCTTCAGGCATTAGCAGTTAATAAACATTTAAACCTGTTCTCAGTGTCTATATGCCATTAAAAAACCCCAGACCATTTCCTTGTAAGATAATCCACTTATGGACAGCATTTTGCACACAGAACAAATTTATTAACCTGCCTGGTTAAAAAAATGTATTTATAATGTGTAGAATCTAACCTGCATCTTACTGCTCACACTACCTATTTACCTTGTGCAATCCACTCCACCATGGAGAATGGGAACAGACTGGTCATTTCCAGTTTCACATCACAGAGCAAATGCCTTCATTTCCCAACCCTCATGCATCACAACGTTGCTTTTAAGGTTTTCACTGCAAGCAGTACACAACTAGTTTCTATCAGAATTGCCTTCTAATATGCGAGACAAAGGAAAATTCAAACATATTTGACACTATTTGATCTCAGAAACCTCTAAAGTCCTGTCCTCACAAATATGACCTTCTTTTGAGAACTGCTTCAGCTTATCAGAAATCCAGATGAGTAACAGTGATGACAAACCTATACCAGAGAGTTTTCAGAAGAATTAGTAACCAGTTCTTGTGAATCAATCATCAACTCCCATGAAGCGTTCACTTGGCTGTGATTATCGTTACTTATGGGGTGCCATCAAACTGAAACTGAGTCAGTGTTTTAAAGAAATATTTAAAAGCAGTTCTGGATACTGAAATGGCTCCCAAGGCCCCACTGCCAAACTGCATGTTCTTCATAAGACAGTGACGTTTCCTCCCTCGCATCCAAGAGAAAAGGCACCACTTGCTCTGATAACAGACAACACTAACGAACCATACAAAGGAAATAATGGGTTACCTTGCGCATTTGACAGCTTACTGCAGTTTTAAAAGATTTGTGAAGATGAAAATGTGTTTCCCTTGTCTCAAATTATTTAATCTTAAGTACTTGTAGTAATTATAGCTAACATTTTTCAGATAGAAGTGTGATTCTTGAATTACAGTGTCCATTTCAAAGCAACACTCAAATTAATCTAGTCAATTTTTCCAGCATTGAAGTTCACAAGGTTAAGGTTTGACAAGTTCTAGCTTTGTCTGTAATCAAATTAAAGCTAAATATTCCCACACTACAGAAGTGCTAGAGAATGAGGAGACCTCCCCTTGAGGAGACTGCTCCTTTCCTCCCCATGCAGCCTCCAAGGTAAGAGTTATTTACCCCAGCAAAAGGGTGCTGGTGAGAGCTTTGGGGACCCTGCATTTGTCCCATTTTACAGCCAGCTTTCAGGAAGGAGCTGCCAATAGCCAAGATTGCTGAGGTGCAGCTCCACAGCAGCCACTCAGGTCCAGCCCTGTCTGCAGCATCTCTGTCTCTTCTCCTGTCAACGCTCCCTTCCCTGCCTGGGCATTTTGCTCACTGATCTGGTTAAAACCTAACTGGGAAAAGAAGCAAATCAGTGTTCAGCCAGATCAGCCCCAATGCCTCTTGTCACGACCTTGGCAGCTCCCTAAGGAGCACAAAGGAGGAGGAAACACAGGATCAGGATGGAAAGAAAGGCGAGAGTTACAACTCTGTGTAACTGTGGAGTTGCAACTGGTGGGAACCCTTATGGGGCTGCACCTTCCAGTTACAATCAGACAATTCCTTTGACAGTGAAATTAAATGAAGCTGTGAACTCGATGCATTCAATTCCTGGCAAGAACATTAAAAGGCTGCCCTCACAAACAGCCCCTTGGCCACCACAGTCAGCAAAGAAGCCAAGGGCACCACTCCAAGGACATTGAAAAACACATCAGAAGAAGGACCTCCCTGCAACATCACAGGATACTGAGTGGCTCAAGGGGATGTCTCAGGGTCAGGGACACCCTGCAGTTAACCCTCACAAGGGAGGGGTGCATCCCACCCAGCAAACTCCGGGCTCATAACACCAGTCAGGTTCCCATTTACTGTTGGGTTGACTAGAGACAGCCTTAACAAGCCTTTGGCTCTGTTACAACACATTTTGACCACTCCACATCCTTGGAGGGATCATTTTCCTAACATTTTCCTGCTGTTTGAGTGAAACAAACTTTACATTTCCTTGGCCCCTTATTGGGCCAGTGTTTTGGATCCACTAAACAGTTACTGCAGCTTCACAAAACAGTAGTACTGATAAAACTTCAGGATATTAATAAATATATAGAAAGTCACAACAGTGTGCATTTCAAACCTTCATACCCCAGGTGATCTCCATTCATTCCCCTTCCACTCCCCTCCAAATTACAACAAACAAGATGTCACATCTGAGCCTCCAAACACAAAATGAAAATAGGCTACATACAACATAACAGGGTCTAAAAATAATCAAATACAGTTAATCTTAAATTTACGTTCCGATTTTTTCCCTACTGACAATTACAGCCTCAGGAAAAGACCTAGCCACAGGGAGCATTAAAAGTGACATCAGAAGTTTTTCCAACAGTTGCCTGCAGCAGGGCTCCTCAGGAGGCCTTGCTGCAGACCCATACAGCACAAGAAGAAGGAATTTGGTGCGAGGGGCTCACACTCACCGTCTGCAGAGTTTCTTCCTGTCTCCTGCTTTGGCTCTGTCGGTTGATGAAGGAGCGCGTCGAGAGTTTGTAATGGTTCAACAAGCAGATGATCACTACCACCATAACAGTTATAACCACAATTATAATGATGATTTGAACAAACTCCAGTTCAGCTGAAACAAAGAAAAAAGAGGAAAGTGTATCAATCACACATAGAACGTTACCCATCAAAGCAATAATCTGAAAAACCCTCAGTATTTCATCAAGATTGATCTGCAAGAAGATGTTACTGCTGTCCATTTTGCAAAGTCTTGTGAAGAAAACTGTGTTCTAAGAAGTATTAAAATTATTTCTGTTTGGCAGTGCCAATCAATCAATATGAGTGGCTGCAAGTCAAAGCTAAAAAAACTTCTTGGTGATCCTTCTCTGCAGCCTTCACAGGCAATAAATTCTACAGGACAAACATCACAAACAAGCCTTGTTGATAACACAACAATTTCACTGGCAAAAACAAACACACACAAAATCCATTCTATTTTAATAGCCACCTGCAATGCCAACAGAATCCAGAGAGCTCTTTACGTGTCAAAGCAGAAGCCATGGAGAGACGAATCAGGACACTGTATCAAGTAAACCATCCTATATTTTTTATCAGCTAAATAGCACAAAAGCTACCTAAACTAAGTGGAAAACAAACTCCCTCCCCAGAAAAAACTACATGTAATGTCTTTCTCAGTTACTTATTTTTCTTTCCAACTAGAGTAAAATTAACTTTTCTAGGACATTCCCATTCAGGTAAAAATCTAAAAAGAGATCCGGTACTCTAAACCAAGATATGTTCCACTATGGTTAAAAATGAAACCAGGGCCTCGGCTGTTGCAAGGGATACAATTACAATGAACTCCATCTTATGTGAAGTCCTGCCTATACCACAAATATTAAGTATATTTAGAAATGAGTCACTCTTGCACCCTTTTGGCTATACTGGAGCAGCAAGGATGAGCAACGTAAGGGGAGAAATTGCCCTTTGGAGTTACACAGTTGCTGATATTTCTATGGAAACTGCATTGCTTGCAGGGGATGCTCTCATCTTGAAAGACAACTCCAGTTAATGGGAGTAGGTCTTTGGCTGCTATGAGGGTAGGAAGAGCAAAGCAGCAGTGTGAGTTGCTCAGTTTCAGCACTTCCCAAAAATGGCACCACTTTTGGGTACCAAAACAGGAACTTTGGGGAACCGGTATGAAGTTTCTGTATTGAAAAGCCAATGAGTAAAAAAAGATAATGAAATACAAGAATAAAAAAACAAAGCAAACATTGGAGAAAACAAGCTTTCCCCCTTATCTCTTTCATTTGTAGCCATCCTCAGCCTTTCGTGTAGCAGCAGTACACATATGCAAACACAACAGAGCTATGAAGCTGTGCTAGAAAAGCGCTGTTCACACAAAAAATCCAAAGTTATCTGCAGTGGAACTAGAGGAAACCCAAGGCTGTTTCATTATTCTATGATCTTTTGCGAGTAAAACCTCAGAGTACAGGAGCTGCAAGTGCACTGGTGTCCAGCAGAGGCTGGTGCCGAGGTCCAGCTGTTTGTCACAAGTTACCAGTGGGCACGGGCACGTCACCATCTAAGTGCTGAGGTTCTGCGATCGACTCACTAGGAGCAACTAAACTTATTTAAGGCTAAGGAAAGAGGAACGGGCAACAATACATCTATCATTTAAATTCTCTTCGCTGTTAAATACTATCCACTCATCATTAAGACCACCAACACTCTCAGAAAATGTGGTCAGTCAGTGCTTTGCTCCACTTTTGCTATCAATCCCATATGCAGCTATCTTCCCCCTCCCACCCTTGAGTCCCCTGCTAACAATGTCAGCACCAAAAAGATCAAAAAGCAAGAAGCATAGTATTAACTAAAAAATAAACCCACCAAAACTATACTTAGGTAAAAAGTCAAATTTTCTTGGTTCAGAAGCACAGCTTACAGACTTGACACAGTTGACAACTGCTGCAGTTCACATCCTGCTGCTTCTAAGTATCAAAGTGTTTCTTTAACCAAACTTTTTTTGGGGGTCCATGTAGTAATTTTGAACTGGAAATTGAGAGACTGTTGCTAAAGAGCAACATGCAAAACAAGCAATGTTGATTTAGGCTTTCCTAGAATGCAAAGATCACTGGAATGACATGTTATTTCTCTATCTGCCAAGGGCAGAGTCTTCTAAATTTATCAAGGCCTCAACACTTCAGTGGCAGGGGACAGTACCTCTCCTCTGGAAAGAAAAGATTAGGACTTTGAGCATTTCCCTTAGGGGGAATAATTTGGAATTGTTTGACTAAAACATGGTCATACAATTTTAAAAAGAAAATCACAGCACACAGGTGCGAGCACACAAGTCTCCAAGTTGAGCTTTACACTGCAAACACTAAAATGCAACAGAACAGCCTACTGATGTTCAAGAGAATTTCCTCACTGGGAAGTAGAGGGAAAGGAAAGGGAAAGGTGATTTTTAATCTCTTCTTCCTCCTGACTGGCCCTCCTGTGACTCATTGGTTATTAAGAGGAAAAAAGAAAGAGACAGAGCAGCAGCAGTCTCTATCCACCGGCACTGCTCAAGGCAATTTCAACAGTTCCTGGCAGCTGCTGACCAGCACTGGGTGACTTCAGCTCCTGCTCCACGCCTCACAGGCACCCCTGACCCCTGCACCATCACCTTCCAGACAGGCATCTCCTCCTGCCC